CGTCAACTATATATATATATATAAAAGCTTTTATTTACTTGACTTAACATTTTGTCCGTTCAATTTGTTTTAACTCATGCAATTTCTATAAGTTTTTATCACTTACTTTGATTGGAATAGCGTTATCCGTAATCAGAATCCAACTGTACACCAGGCAATGATTGCAATAAAATATATCACATTGATGATAGCATTTCTACCCTTTGTATCACCATGATTTTAAAATAGCCAATGGTCGAACACTAATAAACTGATTAAATTTCGAATTGCGCCTCGTTCTTGAGTAAAACATGCAACTGCATTGTTTCTACCCAATAATAGGTCCACTTCACTAATTTGATTAATTAGGATGAAAAGTAAAACTTGGAAAATTAACGATCACAAGCATCGAATAACTAAAAACAAAAAGGAGATAAATTATAAAAGTGCAAAAAATAAAACGCAACAAATTGATTATGGATTGAAGAAATGAAAAGATATGGAAAGTGAGATTTTTTACGAGATGGGATAATTTGATAAAAAAAAAAAAACACCCTGTTTACTTGAGAAAATCACAATCATGAGCAAAATGATTATTGAGGAGAGAGAATATCGTATAGCTTGTTGCTTTTTTGTGTTAACAGGTGAGAACGACACTTATACTATCACTATTATGATGATATTTCCGAGGCACTGAATGTATCACGACTTGAAATTATCTTGTCCTCGTCAAGAAAACCCATTATTGAGTTTTTGATACGGAGGTAAGTTTGGTACTTTTACATTATCACTAATAGGGAAATTTTCAAAAGCAAAAAGCGTATTGAAAATGAACGGAATTGGTGATCCTTATAGAATGAACAGAATAACGCTTTCTTTACAGATATGCGGGTTGTTCGGGACGTAAAGCAGTTATTCTTCGCAAATATTCGGTATCACGGAAGAAGTCGGATTGGAACGAATTATGCCGTATTGTCGACATTCCGGATGACGTTTCATCGATGAAGCGCAATTTCATAAGAAGCTCATGAGGCTCGAATGGCCGATCCCGTAGTTCACTATCCAGAAATGCTCGAACATCATTCCAAGTGACCTAATAGATATGAGAATGGAAATATTTGACTTTGGATTTTAAATACATTAGTTCAAAATTCAAATTAGTTCAAAAATGTTAGGTCAAAATTCAAAATTTTCTAACAGTACAAAATTAATTTACACACATACCTTTCCTCCTTTTTTCCTTCTCATTGCTCTTAACAGAACTACAATTTCCTTAAGTTCCTCGCTCATACCAAGAAATTTTTTGGCTCGTCCGAAATAATGGAAGCGAGTAAAATATGCTTTCAGATGTGTTGATGCTAGGTCAATACACATCGTAACAACTGATAAACCTGTATAAACCTTGATAAGATATTTACATACGAAGCATAATTAACGAACTCTTTTCTACACGGTCCCAAGTTGCCACTACAATAATGAATGAAATAGAAAGTGATCAGAACCTGCCAAAGTTTCTCGGACAGCCGTCACGAACATATTCGCTGCATATATTACGACAGTTCTACCAAACTTTAAAACCTAACACACTTATTTCTCGCATGGAAATGTGAGAAAGGTTCAGAGAAAAGCCAATACTCCATCTATTGATGAAATGGGCAAATCTCTTCATGGCTGTTGTTATGAGTAGGGAATATCAGCATAACTTAAACGATAAAAAATCATTTTGATCCATAAATCCACTAGATGTTTAAGAAATCTGAGTGCTACCATACCGATAAAAATCCTTTCCCGTTCCGTTCCAAATAACTGAGCCGAATTTTTTAATTTTTCTCGAAAGAAAAAGGATGTCACGTGATTTATGGTTTGAAAATGAAAAAGATACCTTCAAAAGAAAAATTAACTAACCAACGATGACAAAAGCGACAATAAGAGATAAGAAAATGTAATCAACAACGACGATATCGCCAAGGCCGACGGTTACGATAAGATTGAAGCCAAAATGAAAAGCGTGTAGAAAAGACCACGAACGCTCCCAGTTGATAAACATGGCAGAACCCATCGAGCAATACAAACAGATGCATGACACATAAGCTCCTGAATCAAATAAAAAGTTAATTTTTAACGGAGAAATTATCGGTCTTATTGCTTTTGACAAAAATGTTTTCCATATCAGAAATCCTAAAGTTTTAGGACTTCATGGTTTAACAAAATCTGAATGAGTATCACTGAAGTATTCCTAAACCCTCCGAGGATTTCAGAATACCTCAATGTTATCTATGATCATGCAGCTGAGCAATATGATCATAATATGCATTCTCTAGATAATTTTCAGATCATGAGTCAAAATTAAAAATTTCAAATGGTAAAGAGCATACCAATTGGGAACCATAATTTCCCATCGCTTCCTTCTATGCCGAAAATATCTATGACATCGGAGTGACCACTTGTCGATTGTGATGACTTCCTTCGCATATAGCGTTTTCGAAATAAGATTTGCTGAATGTATTCATACAAAAAATTGCAAACGATGTGAATAATGGTACACAGCATCATGCAAAAACAAATATGGTCTACTCATTTAAGGAGTTATTATGACACGTGGAGTGCAGTTAAATTAAGCCTTTTCCATATTACAATCTCACCCTTATCAAAAAATTTGAATACTTTCAGAAAAGTACAGCATCAGTAATTTGAACACACACCTTCATTTTGTGTGACATCTTGTTCCAGTTTGAAACGAAACGAAGCAATGTTTCCGACAAAAATTTGCCTATATCCGCAGCCGTGATAAACATAAGAGGTATGCCAACTAAAGCGAATGCTACCGCAAATACTTTTCCTAAATCTGTATCGACTGATACTTCACCATATCCTAAAATATTACTTAGCTGAATAATTTCGCTGAATATCAGTGTCATTTTGTAAATTTCGCAAAAATTTCTCAAATTTTTAATTAGATAAATGAAGCTTGTAGATTTACAGAAAAGTTTTACCGCATGTAGTGAGAACAGTAAGCACATATAGTAAGGCAGTTGGGAAAGTCCACTTGTTGTGAATATTATCAATGTCATCCGGTTTTCGAAGCTCTTTACGGATCGGACGTCGATCATCCACTGTCTCTGCTACTGATATCATATATTCCCTGCAGACTAATGAGTTTTAGTAACGGGAAATAATTGCGGTGGTTTTTTTTTTCATTTTGCTAATCTTTTAAGTTTATAGTCAAAGTCAGGGAAACCTGAAAATTGTAGTCCATTCGGAGCGGTCAATTGAATGAATCCCCAGTTGTGCATCATTTAGAATCCTCCAGCTGTCAGCTGTGAAATTTGTCATGATATTGGACAAATGAATTAGTTTCCGAGATCGAGCCATCAATTCCGTGCTTGTTTCTAATGCCATGAGAATCCGTGCACCAAGACATAAGTAACCAATTAGTACTGTTACTAGTATCACATGAGGAATCAAGATTTTGAATAACTGAAAAAAATAGAATGATGGGGTTTTTTAAAATGATTTTTAGCATTAGAGTCAGAATTTGTGTTACTTTCAGTTATAACTTCATACGTTAAGTAAGACGCTACTGATCATCACTTCAAATTTCTATTTTCAGAAAAATAATTTCAGTGTAATAACACTTTTATATTGTTTAAAAGGGTTCTTCTGACTGAAACTCTTTTCCTACCCTTTTGTTTTAGTTACAATACATTAGTGAAATTTTTATTTTTTGAATTGCAAGTGTTTTTTCTTTTATGAAAAATAGCTCTGGAAGAAATTTCACTGCTAATTCAATAGAGATTTTCCATATTTTGTTCATAAATTTGTATGGGCCTGGGTCTGTCTTTCATTATATCGTTACTTTCGGACTAATGATGAAATTTAGCGTGAACTCATTTTAGATTGATGAGAACAGGTGAATAAGAATGTGTAAAAGTTGTACACATCAAATGTTATCATATACTTGTTTAAGCCAAACAATGCTTTGCAATAGAATAAATATTTGAAATAGAATAAATATGTTTTTGTACAGCAAATATTTAAAACAATAAGTATAACTAATTGCAACTCCGACTGTGCTTATTGCCTTATAGAATTGGCTGCTCTTATATATGAACGTATAATCTTAACCAGCAGTGTGGTATTTTTTTTGTCTAACAAACTAATCACATTTTGCCTCAATCAAATCAAGTTTTCAAAAGATGAATTTTTATGAAATCTTCCAGTTAGAATTTTCCCCTGCTGCAATAAAATCATTAGACTTGGCAACAGAAGAATTTTCACTCATAAAACTTCATCTAAGTTTTAGATATCATCACTTCTCATCCATGTCAGAACCATTTACTCAGTTTCAGTTTCTGGTTGTTAGTGAAGTCTAATTATAATCCTTTTTCGTTTAGCACCATTTTGTATATTTTCAAGGGAAAAGGTAGGATAAATTCTATTTGAGGAAGGTCGCACGCTTCATCTGACTACTCATTTGTATTGCCAATACCTTGTATTCTTGCCCAAATAGATCAAAAATACTAGAAAATTTTTAGAGTTATTTAATATAGTTAATTAAATTACATAGTATCTGAGAGCAGTAATTTGCATGACTTGTATGAATTTGTATGAATGATTATATTGTAAACAATATGCGAAATTATCACTCCTATTATGATCAAAAGAATTGTTCTACTATCCCCGGCACCGACTGTGGAAAATGGAATAGATGCCACTCATAACTTTTTGAGAATTTGAGCCATTTTATCCAACAGCAGTTTGATATTTTTTAATCTCAGTAGTTTGACATTTTTATTTGCTAAATAGTTTGTGTTAAAATTCTAAAGTTTTGTTTACAACTAAAATTGTTACAATTGCAATAGCATTTCTTCCATAAAATTCCACGAGGTTACACTTATTCCTAGGACTTTCCGACATGAATTAGGAAGAAGATTATGTGCTAAAATTAAACCAAAAGTCATTTTCACATTTCAGAGTTTAGTATAGTAGAGTCAAAAAGGTGAGATTACTTGAAAAATTCTAAATTCTAGATATGCTTTTAGGGCATTTAAATCACTGTGACTAATTAAGAAAGCTAGCTGTAATTTACTTCATGAAATAAATGTAAATAAATGCTTTGGAAAGGGATTTCCACTGCTTTTTTATCATTACTTAAAGTGTGGATTTTCAGTGTTAATGCTTGTTGTAAGTTGTAAAGTTGAGATGATTCATTTGAAGAATGAATTACTCAGTCCTTGATATGTATATTTCACAAGGATAATTTAAATCCTTTTTGTAAGTATAGCTCCTAAAAACATCGGGCAAGAAAAAGAAAAGTAACCGGACTACTTTGCACAAAATCTGCTTAATGAGCCATGAAAGCAAAGTGATTTCTAGAATGGGATGAAGATATTATTTAGAGCAGAAATAGAAGGTGACCACAATGAAATTTTGCAATCAAAGCAGAAAATAGTTGCAGCTTATTAAGAAAACGATGAGTTTGTTTTTGTTGTCTTTATAGAATGCTCGTGAATGTAAGAAGTCAAGTTATTCAGGTTGGGGTTATTGGATGAGAACCTGTTTCATTTTTTTTCTGCCTTCAGTTCCTCATCCTGAGTTCCTACAAATCACTTAATGAAGACTAAAATCATAAATTACTGTCAGTCAGACTTTTTCTTTCACAACACATTTTTTTCTATCGGCGTTATTTTTCTGCCAGGTAAAAATTTATATTTTATATTTTTTTTTGTATTTTTTTTCAGGTAAAAATTTGTTCCCCTTCTCTACAATGTGGCATATCTGCTTATCCTGCAATTAAGAAAAACATAGGACTTGTATGAAGGCAAAAGGAAGAAATCAGAAAATAATAGAGCACAACAGATATTTTAAAAATTCATGTCTTATTTTCATTACGATATGATCGGATTTTGTTTGTATCTGCCCACTTCTTCATTGAGTAAGTTGTTAATAAAGTACCTTTCCTGCACGTTTTGAACAATTTTTTGATTCCCGTGTTTCATCCTCTTTCATCGTTTCCGTGATAACCGTCGTACCATCCTCTGCTTCCAGCAGCGCTGACTGTGATGCAAGAGGAATACCATCCCATCGGCTTGTGACGTGATCTGCAGTTGCAGCTATCAGATTTTGTTATATATAAAACTAAAAATTTTATTGAAATTATAAAGAAATCAATCTCAACCGCTTCTCTGTGTACTTAAAATCTAAATCGGAATTTACTTAATTCCGAGTTTCTGAATTTTATTTTAATTCAACAATATCGCTATCTCATGAAGCTATATATCATCAAGGAAATAGAAAAGCTGATAGATATTCCTTAATTTCTTTAATTCATAATTTGAAACTTGGAAATCCGGCCTCTTCTAACTTTGCATTTCTTCCAATATATAGTACGCAAAATATATGCATTATTATGCGTTCAAAATTAATTCCTTGTTTGACTTATTTGCCTTGCTACGCATAGATTGTATTGTATTTCAAAGCATTATTTCATCAGCAGGCATCACTACCACTATAGATTTAATTAATGAATTAGTAAAATATGCTTAATTATTTATGTTTGCATGTCAAGTATTCGCTCGTTACGACAAACTTCAAAGCAACTCGTAAGTAAATATTACAAATGAATATGATTTTAATATGCACCAATAAAAATTGATTCATTACTGTATTCATTTTTGGTAGTGCGTTTGAATAGTTAGAAAAGGAGACGATATAATATTAATTACAAAAAGAAAAGATTTGAAGAAAACATGATACTAAATATTTTTCAGCCTCTGGTTCTATGCATTTTATTGACGCTATTTTGACTTATGGTACGAACATTTAGCGTTGAAAACTTTTATGTCACCAGATAATATCATAAAGAGATTTATCGATCGAATCATAGGTCTTGATCTGGATGCAGAACGCTGCTTAGCAAGATAATAAGCTTAGTGAACTTAACTAATCTTGAGGGAATTGAGAGCATGATGCATCCATTTAGCCTAAATTTTTTCAATCCTTGCATTTTTTCTGCAGGCTAACTGAAAAACAATCATGTGCAGTTTACTCTGCAGAGAACATTTTATCCATCCATTTTTCAACAAATTATTCTTATCTACTCTCCGCACTTCAGATAAAAAAGATTAAAAGAAATGATTCACGGAAGCAATGTGCTATTAACAAATTTTGCTTATACCAAGGAATATTCATACTTAGCAGAATGCATCAACAAAATGGAAGGAAGGTACAATGTGACCATCGAGATATGCAAGTAAATGACACATTCTGCTTATATTGTCAACTAATTCCTTATTTCTTCAGAAATTTTAGTTGTAAAAGAGCATTACTATGACTTTTCATCATATTTTTCTTTGATTTTTTTGAAAAGATTACGTACGAACGGTTGATGATTCAATAAAAATGAATTTTACTGCATTCAAGTACATATAAATCGCAAAAGTAATGATTTGTCTTTTGATTAGAAAGAGTTTTTAATTTTACGAGTGGAGATTACAAGAAGCGGGATAATTTTAAATACCAAAGAAAATAAAAATATTATTAATTAAAAATACTGGAAATACAAAAAATCCTCCCCTAACTGATGAGTCTATCCTTCTAACAATCAGATTTCCGATGATACAGACCAAGTTCTACATTAGCAAAAATGTGATTACTGGAAGAAATCGCAAGGGCGGGAAGGAAGGATAGAGTGATCGAGATGTTACAGAGGGACCCTTTGCTTCATCTCTTTCTAAACTTATTTGTTGAGATCGAACTTAATTACATCTGGATTCAAGTTAGCACTCCAAGTTTATATTATTATCATCAACTTTTCATCTTTTTGCTTTTTGAATAATTGAACTAAAATGACTAAGAATAAATACTTTTTATTATTAGACTGCTGGGGCTTCAAATGCAACGCACACAACAGCATTGCTGATTTAAATGGTCACAGCAAACATAGTTCTTCTATACCTACAAAGTTTCCCATCATAATAAAAATTTTCCACCAGCTTTAAAATAAACGAAAAGAAAGGTATCTTCTGTTGCTAAAATAATGATTATCAGTAATTGGGCGCTTGAAAGTGAAAAACACCTAACCCACCAATGACAATTCGTCCATCGCTTTGTATGGTTACTGTCGGCCGTCGATAGTAGTGCTTGTTGGGCTTCTTGGCTATTTGTATATCAGAAGTTGAATAGCATAAGGTATTTCCTAAGGATGAACTTCGAATAGCTACTTTTCGTTGTTCGTCAGAGTTATCTTTCCTTTGGTCTTTTTTTTGCTCCTTACTTCCTTGTTCATTCTCTGTCACGGTTGATGGGGTAGACTGCTTTGCGATCACTTCAACGATTTGCCGTCCTAATCTTGTTTCGGTTCCCTGTGGAGCGATAGATAACCGTCGTAAAGCTCTTGATTGAGCGGAATAAAAGAACATGTTGTGGAATTAGTTTCTGGATGAGTACATCAGAGATGTTTCAGTAATATAAAAAATGCTGATTAAAGTATGCAATCCATACGGTGCGATTCGTGTAGAATTAGCGAAGCGTAGGAAGCATCAGAAAGGGAAAACTAAACGTAGCAGTTATGGAGTATGCATGAGCATGGATTCAAAATTTAACAGATGGTGTCTCAATGCAGTTGGCAAAGATATGTTCTGAGCAATGCGCAGTATGTGTATATGTGTGTGTGTATTTGTTTATATGTGTATGTGTATGTGTATGTGTGTGTGTATGTGTGTGTGTGTGTGTGTGTGTGCGTGTGTGTGTGTGTATGTGCATGCGTGTATTTATTTATATATATCCAGAAGAGGACAACCAGAGATGGACTTAGCTTGTGTTAGTCCTTGGATCTATTCGAAATATTGCAAATACAAACTTTCTACATCAAATAGCTTCTTGTGCTACTTCTGATGTGTGTTTTACATTCGATCACACTTTTTGACACCCTCACCTAATTCAATATTAAAATGATTCGAATGATCCATTATAAATTTAAAAAACTAATTCCCAAAAAATCATTACTGGAATTCATGCGTTGAATTCATAGAAATAGTTGGGAAAAAAAAGGACGAAAGTACTTTGAGTGATAGCAAAAAACGCTTTAAATAGGGGAGAAAAGTGGACGTTGCGATAACATAAAGACAAAGGACTTGAGGGATTAACCATAAAACAAGTTGTAAGTGTTCCATTGAATTGAAAATCTGAAGTGCATTCGATTATTGAAAGCATTGCATTCAATGGAAAGTACTGCACACAATACGATAAGCCTAATTTCATTTCGTTTTACTAACAAATCATTTGGAAGAAATTGCCGTGAAACATTTGTCTCTAGCCAACCACAATTCTTTGCTACCTAAACTGACTAAAACGGATTATGTCCTTAGATATCATAAACAAACCTTTTCTCTCTAATTCCCAGAATAGAAATCCATTCGTTCCTCGTAACAAGGCGCTCACAAACTAAAACAAACATATGAACAATTGCTAAGAAATGTACCATGGGAAATAGAATTAATTATCTCAGATCTCCAAATATAATTTAAAAACAGTGCCTCAGCAAGATATTATATATCCTTAACGATTAGGGTCATTCATTTGTAATTCGATATTCAATACTTCACGCTTACCCTGACAAAAGCAATGGTATTTGGAAAGAGTTAAGAAACACATCAAAATCAGAGTTTAATCTCGCATTTTTCTCTCCCCGCCCCATAAACATCGAATTTCGATAAATTATGCTTAAACACATTTTAAATTCTTACCAAGATTTTCATGCAAGATCTGAACATTACATTTTCCCTTCGAACTCTTGTAAACTCTCATCCCTATTTTCATTTTAGTTTTTGAATGTTTTGCTACGAGCGAAAAATGGATTACTATTTGGGGAGTAAAAGAGTTTGGATATAAAAGAGTTCGTGATATATAGGGATGTGATCTGTTTCAACCAGTTTGCAAGAAATTTTGACAGGAAGACAAAAATATCGCAACCACGTCATCATATGATTTACAAAATGTTTTAGTATGTCGTGTGATTAACTAAGGGACACCTCTTTTTCTAATCTTTTTCTAAAGTGAATGTACTCTAATTTAATTATTAGATTACTTAATAAACATTAACTCTTCGCTGGTTTTTCTTTTCTTTTTTATTTCACATCCATAGACACGTCCACATGTGTATAGCATTCCATTTCATAGGCCGATATTTGGTCCTTAGGTGTTTTCAAATATTGGTATTACTGTCTTCCATTATCACTACATATGTAACCAGCATCACTACATGTTTCATATGCAACCTTGAAAACGGCCAAACTTTCCAAGATAGATGTTTTGAACAGATTTGAGAACCTGCTCAAATATGACACAAGGAAGTGTTGAATTACGTTGCCGGTTCTACTACTGATCTAAGAATTATACACCCTTCACAAGAAATACGCCAGTTTCATCTTGTCACCAGTTTCATCTTGTCACGCCATTTCGAAGATATCAGATTAGAGGAAACTATCTCGATTTTACCGATAATGTTCATTCTTCAATTGCTTCAAAGTAAAAGAAGAAGAATGTGAAGGTTTTACCCATGAAGTCGAAGGGAGTGTCAGCGGTTTCAGCTACTTTCACTTACCAAGGATCATTTCAAATCATATTTGTACATGGTCACTAGTCTCAAAAGATTTTTAAAATAATATCAGCCAGTATTTTCCTATAACTTCTTAACAGTGTATCAATATTTCCAATTAGTTTCGAGTCAAACAGTTTTCTCGACACTGAAATGGCTGGGAATTCTTAACGAATGTCGTTGCTGATACAACTGCTGTCTTTAGACCTTGACATATCATTTCCATATAAAGATCGAAATTGAATGTTATTTTTATAGAGCTGTGCAGTGTGCATGCGGCTGTTAAACCAACTTCTGAAATTTTCTCCACCTTGTCCTCCGTATCAATGATTACTCACTTAGACTTCAAACTCACACTAACTCTGTTCCTATGACTAAATTTCTTTTAGTTTCACTACACGTCGATTCTTCGGAACCTTACGAAATAACATTTATTTCGTCCATCAATTCCATCGGTGATTTTTTCCACTTAAAAGATAATTTGACTCATGCGACACATCTGGTTCAGCTATAACAACCTTTTTTACGTACAATGGATCCTGAGACTAAGCATTTTCAACTAAATATTTAGCAGCTGCAACATAGATTTTTACAATTTAAACCTTCCCACTATGGCTTGAACACTTTTAATGCGAAAAAGTACTTGTGCTTTTGCAACATTTTTAAAAACAAGTTTGATTTTTTAAGTATTTCAAGGGAACTTTGCTGCATCGTCTGGACATTCAATCTGTTTCTGTTGAATTTAAGAAGAAAACTTCCTGAAGAATTCAAGGTAATATCAACTGTCACATTTTTAGGGTCACACACTATGTAATTACTTTTTGAATGGAGTGAGCATCCGGAATTTCTCAATAGGTAATGGATTCCATAATTCTCGCTCTGGTACTTTCATTTATGTTGATGACGTTATTGTTCAAGTAACGATGAAGCAAACCACCAAAAGAACCTCGAAGCTTCCTTCTAAAATTCTAAATTCTGGCTTTCATATTGCATGGAAAAGCTTTGCCTCACCATACCTGAGACAAAACTCAAGCTTTATTATCAATTTATATGTCGAAAACTAAGTCTTGCAAGCAACCAAACAATCGTTAATATGACTTAGCCTGTCGATGTTATGACCTTCCTGCACTTTCTTCACAGTTTCATAATTAATTACCAAAGTATCTTCATCAAAGAAATCCCTTCTGGTGATCCAATCAGTGCCTCTTACCAAATCCAATCTCTTATTTATGCATTGCTATTCGCATCTTTCAGTTGTTATATTTGCGATGAGAAAGCATTTTGTCACACACCAAATCTCTGTCCCCAGAAGAGCAGAATTAGTTGGAAAAATAAAGTTTGCCATAAGATTCACCATATGAAGTTCCACAAAATGATTAATGATCCAAAATTTACGCTGCTGACCGATCCCCGTGCAACACTGGGAACAAAGAAAAATATTCCGGTTTACGCCATTAACCGGCTGGTCCATCATTTTCTTTGATTCCTGCTGAGTACCATAATATTTCCAAATCAGATCAAACCACTTCATTATAAAACAAATTGAAGAGTGACTGATGAAACTGCCTTTGCTGGGGTTGAAGTTAAACACCAACACATTCTTTCAGATACACTTCGAGCTCTGACTTTCGTGTTTTTTTTGCACGAATCAATTCCGATTTTTTGGAAAATCTTATTTAAAATCAATATCAGTTAGCAGCCAAATCTCCTCGCAAAGATTTCTTTACTCTCGATAAGCGCACCTGGTTATTTGGTGATTCGATTATTCGAGCTCATCATTCATTAATTCTTGCTCCTCGCTGATTGCTTTTGCGAATGATCTGAACTCCTTGATTATTTTCGTCAGTGAAGTTTCCGCTCACTTTGGAATGTCAATCCTCGTTTCTGATAATGATATTTCAGTTCTCACTGAATTTCATCAGGTCCTCTAATTGTCAAGCACACCAGATCACCATCTTTCCATTCATGGTGCAACGAGTATCCATACTTGAAGCACGCTACCCAGAAAGAGAATGCACATACGCATACGCTTACAATTCTCCATTTTAACAGCCAAATACCAGACCAGCATTAGAACAAAAGGAAAATTGGAAATATGAAGAGAAAAAGAGGATATTTAATACACCCGACAAAAGATCTTGAAAATACTGTTGAATTTTAGTGACACTCAACTGTAACAAAAATTTTTGAAGTCCATTAATAAAAGAAATTTTATGACACCCATGTTAGAATTTTTCCTTCTGGCGGTTTCGTTTATGAAATTCCTAATAGAATTCTAAACTTGGAACTAAATTAGATTCGTGCTGAAACATAATCAGCACTGGCCAAAAAGCAAAATAACGGATTTGCTGCGGACAATGCCGCCTTCACCTACTATCACCTAAAAAAATTGGAGGTGATTGCAATATTTTGATTTCTTTTATCGCATTTTTAAACCCTTATAACCAGAAAAATTTAGTTTTATTTACTTATACATCAGGAGATTGGATGCAAATTAATTGGTTAAGGCTTTTTTTTTTCAAGCTTTATTTCAGTTGATGATGATGGCCAACTCATTGTTTTATCACTTGTTGGTTGGGTCTCTGACGCTTTTACTGTTTAATTCTAGTTATTGTGAGCAACACGGTTTTACGGTTTGTTTGTCCCGAAAAAACTTGTTACAAAGCAATGATAGGAGGCATTTATGGAAATAAGTGAAATGTTTAGATTAGATTTGCGGGGTGGACTCTATCTTTCGTTAACAAAAGCAAATAGCATTTAATTAGTGTATCAGACATACTGCTCACTATGAGTCTTGTGTAACTTCAGATATGAATGATGAATAAAAAAGGAAGTAACTAACTTTTAGAGCGATAAATAGAAGGCAAATATTCAGCTTATTTGGATATATTAAAGCAATACGTATTAGAGAAGTTGTCTGCACTGAGATTTTGCAGTATGTTGAAGCATAGAGTTATTGGTTCGTTTCTTTTCAAAGGAACGATTATTTGCACGCATGAGAAAATTTTGAAAATTGATTGTCAAATTATTCTTCTTCTCTATTTGGTTCCACTGGTTTCCTCCCTATTATTGAATTTCGTGGACAACAGATTCTTTTCAAGACAATTGTATTCATATTAAAATGACACTAAACTCTCTTCAACCGTCATCAAAATTTCAGCGTGAATTCTTCTGAAGATAGATACATATAAATTACAGCCATTCGAAATTATTTAATTTCAAGAAATTAGAAGATGCGTCTAATCAGATATTTTCCAAATATATCCAAAAGAATTATAATCTTTCCGGTATGATTATTTATTTGTTGAAATAATCTTCGAGCAGGAATTATTTCGACTTTTAAAGGGAGTTACTCTCATTTCATTTCATATTAAATTTTATTTTCCTAATAGACTAATCGATCGAACTTTTTGGTAAATATGAGGACATAAATTTCCGATGCTCACTCAATTTTTTTAATTATTCAGGGTTAAAGCCATAAAAAGATAATCCTGTCCACTTCTTTTTTCATAAACATTCTTATGGAAGGGTGTACAACGCTGCTTACAAATTAACATCCATTTTCCATCTATGCTTACATTAATATTACCATACACTTTTAACAGTCGTATCTCACTGTTTCTATTTGTAATGGCTCCGAAGAAATGGTACATCTCAATCCTTCAAGCGTTTCGGTTAATACAGAGATCATCTCAGAAAAAACTTATTAACCAAATAACTCACAGACCTGGAAAGAGAAGACTTATTAAACAGATAACTTACAGCCTACAAAATTTTGCGAATGCTACTAATATTGTTGTTCGGGATCAGAGCCATCCTGTTCAGTATCGTTCATAAGTTCTTCCTTTCAATAAACGTGGACCTCACAGAAGACATATTTCTATCCTTGCCCAGGAATCCGAAACTAATTCATTTTTTGGCCATGAATCAAATTCATAACTGAAATGTTCGCCGAGCATTTTGACAGAACACTTTTCCTGTTCGTGGTTTCCTTAAGTATGTTTTCAATAGCAAATATCTTTTGCCCTGCGCAAAAAACGCTAGGAATTTCTCGCATAACAGACGCACCATACTACTGCTCACCTCCTCACTGTCTTGACATACAGCTACTAGAGTCTTTTTATCCACGTTGCCGTGGCAAAACTGGCCAAATTCTGGTTGAGATACCATCAAGAGTTCCGGCCTAGTTACGAGATTCGTTAAGAAACTGAGAAACCGAGAGAACTACCATAAGTTACTTTCTTATTTTCCCTCACATATCTGCTACTCAAAGATCACTGAATTTTTTCTCTTCTGTCCCGCGAATATCATTCATCTCATTGTTCCACAAATTGACCATTAACTCTTAACAAAATCTTCATTTGCTTTCTGCAATTGTTTCCACTTGATGATCGTTGTGTCATTTTGTGGGTCATTTATCATATTATGAAGTTTTATATAATCCAAAAACCATATACCTTCATCTAGCAGCTATATCTTTAACTATTTTTTTTTTTTCCATAAGCCAGGGAGATGTCCTACCTATCCCACTTTTGCTACTGTAGCAATTTCTACGTCATGTTTTTGTTGTGCACATCAATTCTGTTATGCACACCAATTCTTAGTGCTCATCAAGTCATATGTCGAGGCAATACGCGGATTTCTTCAATAAAGGTCATCAATAGGATGGGTGGTAAAAATAATATTGCTAAAACAGTGAGACAGCAGCACATGGCATTCTAAGCAGTTAATTTATGTGATCGATAAATGAAGAATAAATAGCCGCTGTACGTTCATAATATCAAACATTTTTGGCTCCATGTTATTTTTCATACTTTCTTAATTTCGAGTATTAGTGGAAAACCAAAATTTTATGACAACTAATCTCAACACTGCCAAACTGACCCCCTGAAAGGTTTCAAAAAGAAATGAATTTTTTTGAAATACTAATTCTGAATTTGAAGTTAACTAGAAACATTCTATGAAATTTCCTCATTGATTCTTAAATTCAAAGAGAAAAAAAACATCATATTTCAAGAGAAATTTACAATAAATTAGAGTAAAACTTTAATTATTTACTAGCATGCAAAAATTGCTACAAATTAAATTCCTAATTAACTCAATCACTGCATTCTTCGTGCAGTTTAGTCCACAGAAACGTAAAATTTTGAATTGAAGCAATTAATATACCGTGCATTTATTTGAATAAGATTGTCTTCTCCACAACCCGAAATAATGAAATTTTTCTACTGGAATCATCTTGGTCGCAGTTTCTTAAAGGCATACAGGATGGTCAAATGCTATCACGTATTACTATTACTATTAATTCCAAAATCAGTTAAAGTAAATGATTGCTACTAACATCAAACCGCTGAAACAAGTTGAAGTCGTAGAAAATTTATAGTACTTTATGATCATCTGTAACGTAAGCAAGCATCTTGAGAGATATTTTTGAGAGTCGTAAGGAAGAAAACAAGAGTTTAAAGCGGGGAAAAATGAAAATGAAAGTGGGGTACCTCTGACATAAGCAACATGAGATCGTTCGGAACCTCTTGACAAATTACATGAATCGTTTAGGGTGTTCTGTGTTTGTTGGATACCCGCTGTTGTCCGGATCAGACCGGCTGTTTTAAACACAGCTAATGCGGGATTGAACCGTTCGTTGGAGATCACTTGTGAATAAATCATAATCTAGGACCATTTCAAAACGTTGAAGTTATTATTCATTACTAGTAGTAGCAGTAAAAGTACTAGTAGTAGTAGTAGTAGTGGTAATGGTAGTAGTATCAGTGATAAATTTGTGGAGTGTTTTTTTCAGAATCATTTGAGAGAGCTATTAGAATAGCCCAGTTTTTAAAATCAGCAACATGGTGACAACCGCATCGAGTATCCTAACGCCTCTCCATGCGTTTTTACACATGCATATGCAAATACACACAAATTATACACACATATACACATATATATACATACACACATGCGCAGGAACGTATGCTTAAAAAACAATGCGACTCATATATGGGAATCAAACCTGAAAAGGACGACAACAGATCGAACGTCAACTAACATACCGTTCTATTTTTGCGGAATTGAACAGGTTCAAATTTGTCTCAAATAGTGGAGCTAATGTAACTTCGTTAGGAATGCGAAATAGAATTAAATAAAGACTGTGGACGATCCAATGACAAAGTAATCCATAAATTGGTAAAATGGGGAAAAAAGTTTTAGAAATTGCTTGCTAATTAAGAATGGTCATTGATCAAAGAAATAATCACAGAACAATTTTCCTCTTTGAACCATAAACTTTGGGACGTGACATTCGAATGTTATGTGAGGTTAGATAATTAACGCTTACTTTCTCTTTTTCTTGTGCTCCGAAATGTGTTTTCTCGGTAACTTGTAAACAAGCTTACCTTGAACTCAATATACATCTTCCATCCAGGAAAAAATTGGTTCTTCATATCATTGAGAAGTATAAACTCATATCTTTGATTTAATTATTGTAGCACAGCTATTATTATAATATTGGTTATCATAGCATTTATTTAAGTAAAAAGTTTAATTCAGAAAAAAAATGATTCTGTCAAAAATTTATGTCTCTCACTTGAACGAACGCGACAAAATCTATTTGCATATCTTAACTAGGAGGAAGTAGTAATAATTACATATTAGTAAAGCACGGTAGTACGCCTCTTCTGGAAACCTCGAGTGAATAAGGAAGACATTATTGCACCTTATCAATAAAGATTTCACCGGCTTGATCCGTCATATCTCATTATAGTCTAGTTCAAACAAAACAAGTAGTCACTGCAGCTCTGCTTCAGAAAATTCATGTACCATTGTGTCAAAATTGGAACTATCAGGTACTGAAGGAAGGAAGTGAAAAAACTACCCTGTATAAAAAGTACTGATAAAAAGAAGCCTTGGTGTGATTTGTTTATGGATTGTACCATTTGCGGAATGAGGAATTAGCAAGAAGATAGCAGATTAAAAATAAAAAATAAAAAAGCAGATTAGAGTGTCTCTTTACGTATTCATTGAAATAAATTACAGAACCCATACAGCAATTTGTCTTTGGAAAAATAAGAGCTCTGACTGAATAAACAGAAACAATTTTTCAAAAAGCGCTTATGTCTGCAACATGTAATGTTCATATATAAATATTTGTCTTTCGTGTCTTGGATATTCGTTTTCTTTTTGGTGAAAAAATAGCTTAGACTGTAAAACATACTTTAGGCTGTAGGATTTTTTAAAATTTATTGTTATGTACAAGTTAAAAAAAAACTTTTTTTTCGTGTTAGGAATTAAAAAAGATGCAGCAAGTGCAATATGGAAAAATTGAGCCTTTTTCTAATCATTATTCATTCTTTATAAACATTGTGGATAAATGGAAAGCTTGAAAAAGATTTAGTTCTTCATGTCTTATCAAAGCATGACAAATTTTCAAATAAGGCCATACTTTATTGAAGAGCATTATAAACGACTTTTTTAATCTTATATAATGCATATTATAAATGAAAATTTCTCACATCATTGCTTTGATGAAAAAGCTCAGTCTTCCTTCTATTTCTTACAACCTGTCCATCTTCTCCAATGACCCTTCTATTTGAAGTTTTATTTTAGCTCTCCATAAGGCTCAACCCATTATTCTTGTCACAACTGCTCAGCGCTCTTTTCTAATAGTAAAACAACTTTAAATCGTTTTAGAATAATTGCTTTGACAAGGTCTATTTTAATATGTTTATGATATACCCAGCAAAACTAACAGAAAAGGGTATCCTGTTGAATTTTCCATAACATGGTAGAGATACCGCTGTATAAGTCTGTATCGGTTTCATTTGTTTGACAATCATTAAAATGTGAAATCTATCATATTTTGAAAAGAAAAGAAGCATATAGATATTGAAATAAGTCTATAAAGATTATCAAATGATTTATTCTTTAGCTATGGGGTGCAATACCTCAGACTGGATGATTCACCATTAAACGTAGTCCCTGGCAACAATTTGATTGCATTTAAATTGAATTAAGCGCATTATATTTGTTAGTGTGATCCAGCAAAAACAGTTAAAAAGCAGTAACATGGTCGATCTATGGAAGATAACTTTTAATTCTATTTCTGAAGTAATAACATCACTTAAATCTGATAATATCAGCTTTGAGCTATTAAAAAAGATGTTGCATTTGTGTGTATTTCTTAAACATTACTACATCAAACGACAGGAATTGCATCAGCTTCGATGTTTTTTTTCTTTTTTTTTTTTTCACATTGTCACATGTTAAGATTATACGACATATCCTGCTGCTAAAAGAGTAAATAAGGTTCTTTTCAGTAGCTGACATAGATTCACTGAATATAGAAATCGTATTATAATCTTAAAAGAAATAAAAACCATTTTTTGGAACAGATTTTATAATATTTAAAATAAAACTTGAAGAACTGACAATGTCGCATAGAAATTTTAATTGATAGCTTAATATTTCTCTATTGATTTTCATTTTGATCATTTGAAAAAAGAATTAGAAGAGCAATTTGTTTCCTAGATATATTTTTTTTTCAGACATTTCAATCAATAAAGTAGTAGCAAAGAAACAGTTAAAGTATAATTAAAATATTGTTATTTTTCTATAACAAAAGTATTTAAATATCTGGGATAAATTTTTTAATTCTATTTCTTGTTAAACGAAGAATATATCAGTGAAACATAAATGTGGTTACTACCTTTCTAGCAGTATGTAATAAATTAGAGATAATCTTCCGAACCAGCTACTTTTTGTGAATAAATGTATTTGTCCAACAAATTCAGAAATTCAGAAATACACTCCTGATTGCCAGTTTTAAATTGCAATATAAAATCACAAGTGCTTAGTTGATAAACCATAGGAACAGAAAGGAATTAATTTGAGTTAACTATTAACAGTGCAATGGGAGAGAACCAAGCATTTACGTCACCATTTTCTTAATCTTTGAACAATCCTTTTGTCCAAAAATTCTAAAGCAGCATTTATAATAATTGTAGCCGTCGTATTTTGCACACATAAGCAAAATTCAGAGAAGGAAACCTCCAAGATTGTTGATAGTGTAATTATAAACATTCTAGTTCATATCAGATGCAACGACGTGAATTACTTTTTATAAGAATCAGCTATAGGATTTTGCATTCATTGTAGAGCATTTTGTTTAAAAAAGGAAATACATATATTTATAAAAATTAAAGGTTAAGCAAAGTAAAGAAGTGAATAAAATAAAACAGTTGCAGATTTGAGATATTACTAAGGAATTTCATATCACATATGACGATGGATGATATAGACGGAAATGTCATAGCGAAATGCATGATATTATGGTTATGAATAGATATATCATTAAGTATTTTAAGCAAAAATATTGCTGAAAGCAGAATTTGTAAATATCTCCGGCAGAATATCCTCGTATAAGATGTAATTAAAGATATTGTAATATTACCGACAGAAATTACAGTTACTGCTGAATAATTTTATAAAGAGTTTCTTTCCTGACAGAAACTTTTATCTTGAATCGGAAATCCTTGTTGTTTTGTAAAAAATCAATATTAGGCAGTAATGGTGATTAATTTATCTGGATAAAAATACATCGTTAAAAGCTTTAACAGTAATGAGATAGAATTCTAGTTTAGAGCATATAGAACTTAGTTCCTCAGGAAAAGGCGAACAAGATGATTTAGCACATGCTGAAGTCGAATAGGTAGACCTTTTGGTTAAAGGAATTATGATAACGGGAAAGGGTAGGCACTATTAGTCCATATTCTTTACTGCAGTGCATTTGTGGCTCGATGACCGAGGATATGGGAGATCTCATGAATTTTTTGTTCCTTGAATGTTATAAGTTTGTCATTAGAAACGCTGAAAATACAAATGATGCTGATTAACCTGGTAAGTAAAACATAAGTGCAATTAGAACAATCAGTCCAATTAAATCGGAAAAGATATAAGGAAAAAACATAAGGACATTTAGTAATATCTATTGTCATTGGCGAAAATTTATATCGGGGAAGCTGCATAAACAGAAATGTGTCCATCAAGAATGGATTTGCTTTACAGGAGAAATTAGTTTCTTTTTCATTGAAAGAAAATGGAGCAAATAAGCAGTTCAAAAAACTTTTGTTTTTTTGTTCTCACAAAAAACACACCAAATATTTTCAAAAAGGCATAAACTGTGCAGGAAGTGTTTGACAAAAATTTAGTGGAAACACGAAACTATTTCTAAAAATTCATTTCTCTTTCATCCAACGGTTATTTATTTCGCTTTTTTAGATACACATATATTTGCAAATTCTCATTTTCTAGCAGATCTACCTTTAAAAAAAACGAAAAAGAAAAATGATCTGTTCTAGCTTGATTTTCATTTATTCTATTTCTCTCTTGTCAGCATTTTAGATCTATAAGACAAGAAAAACAACGCGACAACCTTGCCAATTTTGTCAAGTATAAATATAAATGCAAACTTCCCAAGACGCGAAATACTTTATAATAACACTTTGCGATGTTATCTAGTATTTCGAGCAACTCCAGAAATTATAATATTTCAACTGTAAGTGGCCATCATCATTTTACTTAGTTTTTGACTGCCTTCAGAGGATCGAATCACTTCTTGAGAAATCCGTTCCGATATTTCGGTTAAAAATTCCATAATCAATTCTGTTCCCAAGTGTCAGAATCAGATTGAAACTGCTAGCTGCTCACGACATGTGACCAAATTAAAAAAACGTTTGATGGTACAAAATCTCTATTATGACGAATTAATTGAAGCAATTGATAAGAATGTAAGCAAACCGGAAGTGAAATATGGGTTAAATTAAATTAAGCGGGTTTAATTTCTTGAAATTTATAATAAGAACTTATTTTCATTACACACATATTGATGAAACAAAATCGAAATTAGTAAGATATTTTTGTTCTGAATTGAAATACAGAAATATTAAAGGGGAAGAGGCCATTTATTTAACGATTGACTATTTTTGAAAGTTAAAAAATCATGAAAACAAGAAACAAGTGAGATCAGAGAAAAGGAAAAATGAGTAGGGAAGAATTATAGAAGTATGGTTTAACGTGCCAAAAATTTACTGACAGATCAACATATTTTTTTCGAATTAAAGCGATTACAAAGCTTTAAGAAAGACAAACAAAAAATTTCATCCACTTTTTCTTAAAGAATCGAAAAACCGTAGCTAATGGTTTAACACTTTATTTTGCTTCTTTTAAACCAATAATCGCAAATTGCTCTAAAAAATTTCATGTGTATAAAGGCGCGACTAAATTTTCGAATTTACATAACCGAATTAATTCTATGGCTCTCTAAAATACTAGCAGTAATAATTTGAGAAATTAGAAGTAATTAAATATGTCATTATGAAAATGAAATGCTTTGGTGCAATATGTCTGACCGGTGGAAATTGATAATTGTTTTACGCTACTCTTTCAACACTTATTTATGTTGTTTGGTTAAAATTTGTCAAAAAAAATTTAAAATTATTAAGAAAATGCATAATTGAGTCCTTCGCCACTTCCCAAGCTGTTCTTTCAAAGAAAATTCTTTTCGGCACTTCAAGTGAGTTTTTGATGTTTTTACAATTTGCACATAAAACGAGAAATCATTTTTCTTTCTCCTGTTCTTTAGATTTTCTGCCAGTTTTTTAATAAGGTTTTTTATTCATAAAACCCTTTACTTTACTAATCTATTCCAGTACACATAAAAATATCTGTCTCTGGCTACTACTCTGTAAATTTCATTGTCTTAATTAAACTAATTTTAGTATTTTTGAACATAGGTGACTCTGATTATCCGACACGAACAGCGATAGAAATTCTGTGCAATCCTTTTATATTACGTATTTTTGCAAATGACTGTTAAGAGATGATTTTCACACAGATCGAAATTCGTTATTCATACTGTGATACCACGCATTACATTTGCGCGAACATTTAATGGGGAAGATATTTGTTGGTAGCTCAAATACATGTTAAATAGGGCTAACAAAAGGTCTTCAAATAGTTAATAAAAAATAATAAGCTCATTATTATTTAGCCATTTATTTCAATCCACATCAAATTTGGCTATTGATGGAAACTTTGCAGATAATTTTCTTTCTAAGAGTTTGATAGTTTAAGTTTTGATAATATTTCCGACAAACAGTTTCTATGAGAATGTTTGAGAAAAAGGTCAAAGTTCATTTTCAAATCATTCGCTATTTAAAAACAATTTTCGATAGAAGAAATCACAAGCGGACGGTGAGGCTCCAGATAAAACGAACTGATTTCTTTGGGCGACAACCAGATAGAGATAAATTGAGTAACACTAGTAGTGCTAAATTTTTTTCAAACTTTCAATATCAATGGAATGTTATGAATTAATTAAATACAATCATTTAAATATGCATTTCAGTTCTACAGCTTAGAGGCAACTATATCCGCCTGATATCTTTAACAGTTGTACAGATAAATTGTACAGGTTTTAGAATATGCGAGAAGCAGGGTTTAAAACTTTTAAAACTAATGAATCAGGGCTGATAAGACTGCCTACTTATCTGCTGTATTACTTTTCTTCTTTGCCTAGGAGCACTAGGATCACTTACGATATAAGTCACGCACTACTGCTTTAGTCATAAGTAATGATGAAATAATAAGAGAAGTCAAATTTTCGATAAATAATAGCGAAATCTAGAAAAAGGTTTGAAAAAACAACTACTTTTATGAACATACTTACTGCTTGCAAATGATTTTTATAGAGAGAATCAGAAGCGCTGGTGACTTACGACAGAGTCATATGTTGCTTTTCTAACGTTTCAAACGATAAAATTTGCAATGATGATAAGCCATTACCAGAA